AGATACTAGTTTGGAAGGAACTTGACTATGGCTCCATGACAGAGGCCGAGAAACAGATGCTTGTTTCTGAAGTGAATCTGCTCCGTGAACTGAAACATCCGAACATTGTCCGCTACTATGATCGATTTATTGACAGAACCAACACAACCCTGTACATTGTGATGGAATATTGTGAAGGAGGGGACCTGGCTAGTATAATTACCAAGGGAACTAAGGAAAGGTAAAGGCAATCTTATTTAATTAATTAAATTAATTAATTACTATTTCTTTATTTATTGAGACAAGTACTTTCTATGTAGTTTAGGCTGGCCTTAAACTCATTATGGAGCCCAGGTTGGTCTTAAACATACAGCGATCCTCCTGCCTCAGCTCCTGAGTGCTGGAATTACAGATGTGCAGGCAGTCTTTTAAATGTAAGATGAAAATAGCTGTTCTGTTGCTCCTGATAAGTATCTTGTGTCAGGATCAGGGATGCATTTTTTTTTTTTTAATGTATTTGGTTGTTTCAGGGTGTCACTTCACAGCTCAGACTCGTGGTGATCCTCCTGTTTTTTCAGCCTCATTAGCACTGGATTTACAGGCATATGCTACTAAGCCAGGACTCTGGCTGGCTCAGCCCACCCTGAGGATGGGGCTGTTGTGGCAAGTGGTGCCAGGGATCAAACCACTGTGGTCCCTGAGTTTGCCTAAGCTTGCCTAGGCAGGCACCTCCTCTGAGCTATCTGGATGGCCCCCAGGGATGAATTCTTAGTGATATGCAAGCTTGTGCTTGCATTTGTGTGATGGGCCAGTAGAATTTAGAAAATCACTGGTAAATCAATTACTCATATTTTGTATCACAATAATTTCTCTACTTGAACACTTCTAGAAGCTGGATAATTCACCTCATCCCATATTTGCAGTGATTTTACTCGTGTTTTATGCTATGCAACTGCTCTGGTTTCAGACAATACTTAGATGAAGAGTTTGTTCTTCGAGTGATGACGCAGTTGACCCTGGCCCTGAAGGAATGTCACAGGCGAAGTGATGGAGGACATACTGTGCTGCATCGAGATTTGAAACCCGCCAATGTTTTCTTGGATGGCAAGCAAAATGTCAAGCTCGGAGACTTTGGGCTAGCGAGAATATTAAACCATGACACAAGTTTTGCAAAAACATTTGTTGGCACACCTTACTACATGTCTCCTGTAAGTGTTTCAGGATTTAGGTGCTTTACAGCATCTTAATGCTAAACATCCCAATGCAAGGAAATGAAATTTTTCTTGGTCTATTGGTTAGTAAGCCCAGTAGTCAAGAATTAAAGAGTACTGATTCATTTTAAGTGTATTTTTCCAAGTGGACCACTGATCATTAAATTTCTCCACAACTCAGTTGCAGCTCTTTTTGAATGACTTCCCTGTAATAAACTCTGGAGTTACAGAGGCAGAAGGGGTTCTGTCTGCGCTGTGATCACAGCAGTATTTCCCAAGTCGATCCCAGATGCACCAGTGTCACACTCACCTGGAGCGTTTGTAAAACCACCTAACAGTGTACCTGGAGCCTTGCTTGGGAAAGTGTCATTTCAACTATTTGATTTTTTTTTTTATATGTAATAGCATGTTTTTATTAATAATCTTCAGAAACACCTGTACTTATCAGAATAACCACTTGATTCTTTTGTTTTAAACATTTATTTTTAATAGCAGCGACAGGTTTTTTTTTGTTTGTTTTTTTTAAAAATGTTTCCTTTATTCTTTTTTTTATGGTCAGCTCAGCGCACCCTGTGGGTGAGGCTGGCATGGCATGTGGTGCTGGGATTGAACCTAGGTCCCTGCATGCTTGCCTAAGCTTGCCTAAGCAGGTGCTTTAGACCACTGAGCTATCTCACCAGCCCCCACTTGATTCTTGTATTAAGTAAATTTGATAAATTATTGTTTTTCTATTTCCTGTTATAAAAATTAATGAAAAATGTGCAATTTTTGGTCATCTTGTATTTAAACAGTTAGACTGGTAAGTGGTTAAAATGCAGTCTTGGGCGGGCCAAATAGCTCAGTGGATTAAAACACCTGCTTAGACAGACCAGGGACTGGGGTTTGATCCCTGTTGTGCTGTGTCAGCCCCACCCCCAGGGCGCGCTGAGACAGATTGAGACTGGGTGTGGTGCTCACCTGTAATCCCAGCCCTTGGGGGGGCTGAAAATAGGATCACTACAAGTTCGATCTGTGTAGTGCGACCCTATGGACCCTGTATTAAATACATTAAAAAAAAAAAAAATGCAGCCTTGCTGGGTGTGGTGTGCAGCCCTGGAATCCCAGCACTCTGGTAGGTGTGGGCAGTAGGATTACTAATTTGAGCCCTGCCTGGGCCATTTAGCAACTCAGTGGATTTGTTTATCAACTTTTTGCTATGTAGTCCAGGCTGGCCTTGAACTTGAGATTCTCCTGCCTCTGCCTCCCAAGTGCTTGGATTATAGTTATATCCCGTCACACCCACCTGACATCAAATCCAGTGAATTTTAGGCTTGCCTTTGTTTTTCTGTTTTTTTGTCCCTACATGTAATGTTTTTTCTCTAGACTCATGTGCTCAGGAGGCTCCTGCACTTGACAACACGTTTTTACAGTGTTAGCTCTAGTGCTTGTTCTTTGCTTTGTGTCACCTTTTCCTGAATTGCACCGGCTCTACTTCTCCAGCGACATTTGTTTGCGAAAGTTCTCTGTGACCCTACTGGGCATGTCTGGATGGTAGTCCCTTCTTTTTGGTTATTTCCTTGGAGTGTCGATTGTCACAGAGTGAACTGTTGAGGTGGAAGGTCTGAGGGTCTCACTGTCACTAGGTCTTGTGTGGTGGCTTTAAAAAGAAGCGTGAATAAGGAACAGCATCAGTGTGACAATGTGACATCTGACAAGATGCGGATGGAGAGACATTGCTTTGGTTTCTGTTTCCGTGGTAGCCTTTTTTCGTCCACCTTTGTTTTGGGATGGCCTTGCTAAGCTCTCAGGAGGGCCCAGCCCTGGGGGCCTCCCGCCTTGGCTGCACTCCCTGGGTGCTGGGTGACAGACCTGTGCCGCTGGCCCAGGTTACAAACATTTTAGTTCACAAACATTTAGTGAACTCATTGTAGTTCACAAACATTTCTAGGACTTTGCACAGACAGATTTGACCACTGTATAAAACTTTACGACTTTATAATTTGTTTTTGACTTAAGATTAGACATGGCCAGAACAATGTCATTTTCTACTGTATCAAATTCCAAATAGTCTTTTAACTTAAAGGGAAACATGGCTCCCGTTTATATGTATATGTGGTTCTTGGAAAATTTGAAATGTGTGCATTTCTTTGTTCTTTGCCCCCTCCTGCTCCTGTAATTAGAGGAGTTCCATTTTCCTGAGGCGTTATTGTGGAGGAGTGACGTGAGACGCACCTGTTGGGCTCTACACTGCTAAGCAGCCTGCCCCGGCTGTGGCACTTGGCTGGCCCTCTGGAGGATAGGTGTGTGGTGCTGAGTTACTGCAGGTGTGCACAAAGGCACCCAGTTCCAGTAGGTAATGAGTGTATCGGCTCCTGCCACGGCTTAGGCAGTAGACAGAAAAAACATATGTGTGTAATTCAACTAGCTGCTTCTGTTTGTATCCACTTATATATGGACTGCTACATGTTTTGGTTATTCTGGAGTTTTGTCTGCTTAAAATAGTTTTTATGAGCTAGATGTGGTAACACAGGGCTGTAATCCCAGCGCTCGGGCGGCAGAGGCAGAAAGATTACTGCTAGTTCAAGTCTAGCTCAAACTATGTAGTGAGACTCTATCAAAAAAACAAGTTTTAGTTGGGTTTGGTGGTATATACTTGTAGTCTTAGCTGTTCAGGAGGCTGAGGCGAGGAGATTGCTTAGGCCTAGGAGTTTGAGGTCAGTTTGGGCAACGCAGCTCAATAAAATATCTAATAACATAAAATGTATTTTCTAGATTATGAATGGCCTCATATTTACATTTAAATTGTCAGTGTCTGGTCTACATTCATCATTTTCATTTGTGAATGAAAATAAGGGGATGAGTTTATATATGATAAGTATGTTAAGAAAAAAAAAAAAACCTGCCTTTTTCCTGTTGCATTTACGTGTCTGTGTATGTTTTGCGGCGCTAGGCATTGACCCCAGGGCTAGGCACGAGCTCTACCACTGAGTCACAGCCTTACCTTCCCATTACAAATCTGAGAGAAATGTGTACACTGCGGTTTCTTGTTATTGGAATATAAGCAGAATTAGCCTTTTGTGTTGGAAATTTTTGTTATAGATATAAAATATTTAGATTGGTTATAAAATTTTACCCTCTTGAGTAAACATTACTGAACTTTGAGATTCTCTTTTTATCTTAGCTATAATTTTTTAAAAAGCTTTACGAGTTTTCAAATAATCTCAGCTCCTACTTTCTCACGTTTCCCCTGTTCAGGAACAAATGAACCGCATGTCCTATAATGAGAAGTCAGATATCTGGTCCCTGGGCTGCCTGCTGTATGAACTGTGCGCGCTAATGTAAGTACGTATGATTGTGGCCGACGGCTTGGGCTGGTGCTTTTCAGTGTGCCGCTGACCAGACCGAAGCAGGCCACTTATTTCTGGTGAAAAGAAAAATGGAGCTAGTGGTGCACTCCTGTGACCCCAGCGCTTGGGAGGCCGAGGCAGGAGTATCATCACAAGGGTGAGGCCAGCTTGGGATCTGTAGTTCAAATCTAGTCTGAGATAAGTAGTGAAACCCTGTCACTACATAGAAAAAAATCAGTAAAAAGCGAAAAGATTTTATTCAAAACAAGTTCTGAGGAGAAGGAAGTACCTCATTTTCCTCAAATTGCATGTCGCCTATCCAGGTGTGCAAGGGTCCTTTATATAAGAGACAAAGGGCTGGGCAATGCAGTGGGACCAATGCACACTAGGCTTCTTTCCTTGGCTTGAACCGAGACTCTGAGGAGCAGTGTCTTGTGTTCTGTCTTCAAAGTCTCAAAGAATTCTAAAACTTTTCAAGTGAGGCAGATGGACAGGCTGGAAAAATAAAATATTTACAAGTTGAAGTCACAGCCCATGAGGCCAGGCCTGACCTGTGGAGGGGTCGTTGGATTTGCCCTGTTACAGTGATGCTGAGGTCAGGGAAGAGTTCAGAGTTCACCTGGGGCTAGGGAAGCCACCGGAAGGACAGGGGTCTGAGAACAGGGAGGAGCCCCAAGTTTTTCCCTTTTCTTTTCACCTCCTTCCCCTCTACTCTGTAGCAAGGTGGCTTCCCCAGGGTTGGGAGGAAGCCGTGTCTGAAGATTCTGCTCGTTGAGAGCCCCTGGCCCCTCAGCATTCCAGGGGCTCAGCTGTGAGCTCTACTTAGCCCAAGACGGCAGCAGGGCTGGGAAACTGAAACATAGCTACAGAAGAACATTCTAGAAGGGGAAAGAAACATAGATTGAAATTGGTGCTGCAGGCTCAATTCCTATTGTATGTTTTCATTTCTACATATTAAACTTTCTTTCTCTTATCTCAGGCCTCCATTTACAGCTTTTAACCAAAAAGAACTGGCTGGGAAGATCCGGGAAGGCAAATTCCGGCGGATTCCTTACCGCTTCTCTGATGAGCTGAATGACCTTATTACGAGGATGTTAAATTTAAAGGTAAAGGCACGAGGTCCTCTGCTGTCTGCTTCTACCTCTCTGTTACGTTTTGGAGAACATACACTATTGTCTCCTGTAGAGTAGCAGGGACTGAAGAATCATGAACACTGTTTCCTTAGCTGAAGTCTGTTAATGGAACATCTTTGCTGCCCCCCTTTCTGTCCCTTGTTTATGTCCCTGCCACTCCTGCTGTCCTCACAGATGGCTGTGGCCAGGCACCCAGACCTCCTTCCCCTGTGTCCTTGTCTGCCTCAGGTGGCAGGTGGCAGGTGGCAGGTGGTGAGGGTGGTGCTGAGAAGAGATGTCATTACCCCGCCTTCAGCTCCCCCTGAGGACCAGAGAGGGGAGTAGAGAGACAATCAGAGGCACACCTTTGTAATCCCAGCACTCTGGGATGCTGAAGCAGGAGGATCACAAGTCTGAACCCAGCCTGGGCAGCTAAAAGAGACCCTGTCTCAAAATACAATTAAGAAAGGGCTGGGGTGAGGGCTGGTGGACTTATGCTGGATGTGTGCGACCTCCCAGTGGAGGACTTGCCTTCTGCTGTGAAAGAGCTTGCCCTTTCCTAGGACTCTGTCTTAGGACAGACGTTTTCCTTTTTTTTGGTACTGGGTATCAAACTCTGGACCTTGCGCTTGCCTGGCAGGCCCTTTAAGCTGAGCTACCTCCCGGCCCGGGATGAACGTTTTGTTTCGTGTCACTTCCCAGGACTATCAGCGGCCTTCCGTGGAGGACATTCTTGAGAACCCTTTGATAGCAGACTTGGTCTCGGAGGAGCAGAGAGGGCAGCCAGAGCGGCGAGGGCGCAGGGCGGCGAGTGCGGAAGAGCCCGAGAAGCCGGGAGACCCCGGCCCCCTGCTGAGCGAGCTGCGGCTGAAGGAGCTGCAGCTACAGGAGCGAGAGCGGGCGCTCCGGGCCCGGGAGGACAGGCTGGAGCGTGAGAGGGCGAGCGGGCTGTGTGGGTGGGGTCAGTGGCTCTAGGTCCTCCTTCCAGCCTTCTTTATTTTTTTTTTTTTGAGACAGGATCTCCCAAACTATGTAGCCCAGGCTGGCCTCGAACTCACGGTGATTCTCCTGCCTCGGCCTCCTGAGTGCTGGGCTGACAGGTGTGCACCACTGTGCCTGGCCTAGAGCCTTCGTATGAACACTTGCCATACTAAAACCCTGTAGACAAGTTCCCAGCGGCTTCACAGTGGACTTCTTCCTTGGGCGTGAAGTGCGTGGGCCCTGGAGCAGCGGCCGTTACTGTAGTATATACTTGTTCCGCTCCCGTTTTGACTATAACTTGTTTCCAGTATACGGGAAGCTGTTAAAATGTGCTTTCTTCCAGCATAAAAACCAGGGCTTCACCTCCTGAGAGGCTGCAGCCCAGTGCCAGGGATAAAGTGGGGTCCCAGGAGGTAAGCAGGCAGCACTGTGGGGAGCCGATGGAGGTGTTCCGGGCTCACATGTAACACTGGTGTGGGGCTGAACACTGGCGTGGTGTTGGCGTGGCACCACCTGATACCCACACACCAGAGGGCCCGTGCACCTTCCCCCGCCCTCACGGCCCTCTGACTCCGCATCTGTGACCTTGGGCCCAATGTGGGCTTTCACAATTTTCTAGAAAGCAAAAAACATAGGAAGTAAAGTTTGTCTATTTAAATGTGTCTGTAAAGCACCCAGTGTGCTTTTTTTTTTTTTTGCAGACCTGGGCCAGGTTTATTGGCACTGCCTCTAGAAGGTGTTGGGCCTCTTGGTGGTCAAGCGGGGCTTGTACTGCCGCACTGGGACAGTGGGAACTTGACCTTGGAGTCGTGGAACTGCTTGACAGCGAGCTGGGGCACTTGCTGGCTGCGATCTCCTCCTCCTTCACGATCTAGATGGAGTGGGTATGAGCTCAGTGCCAGATGTCCATGTCCTGGTAGCACAGGGTGACAGTGCCTGCTGTGGTCAGGTCCCAGTACTTCCTGTACATGTTGTCGGTGCCACTGCGGGAGTCCTAGTGCAGCCAGATGATGCAGCTCTTCACTCTCAGTGGAGACTTCTCAAACCCGTGCCCACAGTAAACGATCTCCCCTGAAGATTTCTTCATCTTCTTCAGCTGGGACGTGAAGTACCAGAAATGGGACTTGGCGATGACATGGTTGGGTGTGAAAATCCTCACGCAGTAGAGAGGCAGTGTGCAGCCCTTTGGGGTGGGCAGGCAGCGCCCCACCTCCTTGTATTCCCGGAGTGTGCCTGAGGCCTTCATGGTGCTCCCTTCTCGCTTGCCACCACCCACAAAAAGGCCAGTGTGCTTGTTGATATTTTAGCTCCTGATAATGAAACTTTGCAGCTGGGTGTGGTGCTGCAGGCCCATAACCCCAGCAGTCGAGGCCTTGGTAGGGTGATTGCCACAAGTTCAAGGCCAGCCAGGAGTACAAAGCGAGACCCTGTCTCAAAAAACCATAAACTGATAAATAAATAGATAAATAAATAAATAAGCAGGCCCCAGCAGTGCAGTCAGGCTGAGCAGGTGTCCAGGAGGAGCCCTTCAGTGTCTCTGACCTGTAGTCAGCAGAGGGCCAAGTGACAGCCCTCACTTCCTGTTCTTTGTTTTCTTCAGAGAAGGAGCGAGAGCTGTGCGTGCGGGAGAGGCTGGCGGAAGACAAGCTGGCCCGTGCTGAGGGGCTGCTCAAGAGCTGCGGGCTGCTGAGGGAGCAGAGGCTGCTGGCCCTGGCCAGCTCTCCAGGTACAGCGGGGTCAGTGCGTGTGGCAGGTCTGTGAGAAAGCGACAGCAGTGTGGCACTTTTTTTGAGAAAGGGTCTCAGTTTGTGGTACAGGCTGGCCTTGAATTCCCAGCAGTCCTCCCGCCTCAGCCTCCTAAGTGCGGATGACAGACGTGTACCCAACTTCTGTATTTTTATAATACTCGTTTCACCCATTAGATCCCACAGTACTATCCATAAGGAAAAAGGGACTTAAAATTCTGATCAGGATGATGAATTAAGCTGAGAGGGACTCTTCTCCATGTAAGACTAGCGCATCCAGCCCAGAGACTCTTGGAAGAGCCTTGGGCCTGTGCTTTACCCCCGGGGCCCGATTTCTCTGTGTGGGCGGCACAGGCGGCACAGGGATCCTGCTGTGAGCTGTGGTCAGTGATGAAAGTGAGCCACAGGAACCCAGCCTCCTGGGCTCTGATCCCGTGAGAGGACTGAGCACTTCCGAGCCACAGGACAGGAGCAGATGGCACGACGATCTCAGTGTGGAGATGTTCCCTTCTGCTTAGGACGCCAAACCCTGGTCCTGTGGTGAAACCCTCTTCCTCTGTCTGGGATGGGACGCTGAGGACTCCTGCTGGTGGCAGTACTAGTTCACAAATGTGCCCAGGGGTTTGTGGGTGAAGAGGGGCATGTGCTGGAGAAGATGGCAGTGGGCTGCTCCGAGCAGAAAGCAGCTGGGCATAGAGAGAAGCTGGCGGCCTGGAGCACGGTCGGGGTTCTCCATGGGGACCACTCCGTGCTGCTTCTCACTGCTGCCAGGGCTCGGCTCACCATCTCCTTTATTTTTTTCCACTTACGTATTTGGTACAGGATCTCACTATGCAGCTCAGACTTGTAGTAATCCTCTTGTTTTCAGCCTCTGCAGCACTGAGATTACAGGCATGCCCCCTCCCCACCTCCACTGGCTCAGTGCACCCCAGGGGTGGGGCTGGCGTAGCATGTGGGAACAGGGATCCATCCTTGGTCCCTGCTTTTGCCTAAGCAGGTGCTTGGTGCTGTGCTATCTCAGCAGCCCTCACCATTTCCTTTAAAGAAGCACAGAGGAGAAAGGAAAAGGCTCCTGTATGGAGACCTGCCAGGCTCTTCCCTTGGGACGGGGGCAGGGACAGTTCATGTTTCTCACAGGATTCACCCTCCATATGGCATTGCACTGGCTCTACTTAAAGTAGGTTTCTGGGGTTATGAGCAAGTGACCAAAAGTAGGCGCTCACAGGAAAGAGCCTCCACCTCTGCCCTTCTGGAAGTAAAGTGTCCGACATTGCTGAGATAATAGAAATAGGGTGCAGTGGTGCATGCCTATAATCCTAGCATTCTGGGAGGCTGAGGCAGGAGAATTGCCAAATTTGAGTCTAGCCTGGACACCCTGTGCACTTAGCAAGGCCTTGTCTAAAAATAAAAGCTAGAAAATGCACTGTAGCTATAGCACAGTTCAAAGGCCCTGGGTTCTGTCCCTAATACTACAGCAAAAAAGAATAGCAGCAAGTAGCACTGATTTGCAGAAGTCTTACGTGTGGACTTAACCTTAAGAACAAAGTTAACTGCTAAGAGAATAAAACATGTTTCCGGATGCGTGGCCCACTTCAGAGTTACGTTTTCAGTGGTACCGACAACAAGGCTGATTGATTTCTGCCAGCCCCACCCCTACCCCACTCTAGGCACCCAGATTCCACACAGGAGCCAAAAGAATGATTACGAAGTATGATAGGAGGGACAAGAAAAAAAGAAGGAAAAAAATGGAAACAAAGGTTTTGTACATAAGGAGCAGACGAGGGACTGAAGGGAGGTGAGGGGAATGGAAAAAAAAAAAAGTTATATCATGTACAGGTACAAATTCCCTGTGATGAATATGATCATTATACCTAAAACATGTCAACAAAAAGAAAAAAGGATATAAGCATTGAACTGTCTATGTAACTCAAAACCCGTTTTCTTTTTCTTCCCAAAGAACTTTTTGATCTGCCATCCTCAACAATTAAGAAGAAGGTTCACTTCAGCAGGGAGAGCAAAGAGAACACGGCGAGGAGCGAGAACTTGGAGAGCCAGCCTACTGCCAAGTCCAAGTGCAAGGACCTGAAGAAGAGGCTTCATGCTGCGCAGCTGCGAGCACAGGCTCTGTCGGACCTGGAGAAGAACTACCAGCTCAAGAGCAGGCAGATATTGGGCATGCGCTAGCCTGGGAGTCGCGGGGCCGCCTGGGAGCCGCAGGGGCTTCTGGGAGCCGCAGGGGCTTCTGGGAGCCGCAGGGGCTTCTGGGAGCCGCAGGGGCTTCTGGGAGCAGCGGAGGCTGACTGGGAGCCGCAGGGGTGCCCGGGATCCGTGGGGGCCGCCTGGGCGCCACAGGCCATGCTGCATTCAGTGTTGCCGCCCTTTGCAGTTGGTACTCACTGCTGTAGCTTTCCATCCCTGGTTCCTGCGCAGCACCTTTCTGTGTGGTGAGCTTGATATTTCAGTTTCAGAAAACTGCTTTCGCTGTTTTCAGTAACCGTTGTACCAGATGTATAAATTTTTTATTTTGCCTCCTTTTAAGAACACTTTATGGAAGGAGTGATGTTTCCTGGATCATTTGGGCTCTTGATCCTGTGTGTGGTTGCTAGTAGGAATAGGAGAACTGACATTCTAGATGTTGGGGAAAAATAATGTTAGGGAAAAATATTCTTGCAGGAGCAGCTCTTGGAAAGTTTTACATGGCCGAGTCATGTGTTTGCAGCTGTCCTGTCTAGCTTTAAAGTCGGAGTCTCGGGTTTGAAATGTTCTTTAATTTCTTTAGGAAACTAGGTTGGGTATAAATTGATCACTAACCCCATCTTGTCTAGCCTGTAAATACTCCAGTGCAGTGCAAATCTGTGAGTGTGGTGGGAATTGGTCACTGTGTCGTCTGTATTTTTGTATCCCTTGTTACTCTTGAGCAGCGTCTAAGCTGGCTGTCATTTCCCTCCCTGTCTCCCACTAAATAAAGGTTTTCCTATATTCCTCCTATCTGCGTTGTTCTGATATTCTGTACTGGGACCTCCACCCTCCAGAATAATCCATGGAAGCCAGTGGCCCTGAACTGGTGGACTTCCTTTCCCAGGGCAGATTTGGCAATGGCTAGAGACATTTTTGACAGTCATTGTTTTGTTGGAGTTAGGGTCTTGCTACATAGTTCAGGTTGGCCTGCTCCTTTTTTTTTTTTTTTTTTTTCCTTCTGTCTTTTGAAGAGTCTTCAATCTGTAGTCCAGATTGAACTCACTATGGCCCAGGCTGGCCTCAAACTCAGGGTAGTTTTGCCTCAATCTCCCAAGTGCTGGGATTTTTCTTTTTTTTTTTTTTGAGACAGAGTCTCCTGTAGTTCTTTAGGTTGGCCTTGAACCTACAGTAATCCTCCTGCTTCAGCCGCCAGAGCTCCAAAATGCTGGGATTATAGGTGTGTGTCACCATACCCAACTCAGTGCTAATCCTTTCAGTGTAATGAAATAAGACGAGTTACTTCAGGTGTGTAATAAAAGAGATGAACTTGGTCCTGCACGTATACAGATTTGTCAGAGTTGATAATGTAGTTACCACTGAGGACAAAGAATGGTGCTAGCCAAACACAGTCAGAAACTGATGACTGGGCCATCAAGGAATATTCCAGTCTGCATCTGATGTTCCTTAAAGCCTCATGTGAGCATAGGTGGGGCTTGTGAGGTGGTGGATCGTGGGGCAGGGTGCTCATCTGAGCCGGCTGATGAGTGTAGAGCAGGATGGGATGCTGGGAGGTGGGGCCTGGTTGGAGGAGGTCTCTGGGCAGGGCCTGGAAGGGCCTGGCTCCCTCCTCTTCCTTCGATCTCTCTGCTGCCTGCTGCCACCCCATGAGCTATTTCTCCTCTGCCAAGCCACCCTGCCTTGGAGCCAGCCAACTACAGACAAATCTATAAACTGTGAGCCCAAGTAAACCTCTCCTCTGTCAACTTGTGGGTGTTGGGTTTTGTGTATCAGTGATGAGAAAGTACAGAGTAGGGGATATCCAGAGGTGAATCCTAACAGAACTGCTTTGGCATAAATGTTGAGTGTAACTCCTGGCCAGGTATATAATTGGCAAAGCCCAGTCCACAATGAAAATGTGGGCTTCACGAGTACCATTAAAAGTACACCTGAAGCTTTTTAATTTCCTCTGCTTCATGCGGTGTGTGCTATTTAATGTTCTAAGTAAAGAGACATCACCGCACATGGTGGCACATGCCTGTGTTCCCAGCACTTTGGAGGCTGAGGCAAGAGGATGGCCAAGAATTTGAGGCCAGGCTGAAGTATATAGCAACGCTGTTTTGAAACACCAGAACTGAAAAGAAGAAAACTTAAAATTATTGGTGTGAGTTTTACCATTCATCTTTATCTTGCACAATGTTAGTTCAAGTGCAAATTCCAGAGCATTTAGCTCATGTGTGGAATTGCACAATTCTTGTTGTGTGGCTTGTCTCTGGGGGACTTCCTAGAGCCAGTTGGGAGGGACAGGCACACCGAGCTTTGGGCATCTGGGGACCTTTGATGGCTCAGTCCCTTCCCCTCCCTCAAGGGTGCTGCTCAGTGCCAGGCCCGGAGAGGTCTAGCCAGGTGTCTTCTCCCCCTCGGGTCCTGCTCCTTAGGCTGCCTGGCAGGACTCTGGCCTGGGTCAGGGTCCTGGGGAGCCCTGCTGGGACATGGCCTCCTGCCTTGTTCACCTGACAATGCTGCCTCAATGTGCTGTGCAGCCCAGAGGCCCAATGCAGAGCCTACTGAGAGGCAGCACGGGTGCCCAGGGGCAGGAGGAGACCCGAGAACTCCCTAGCAGAGGTGTCAGGGAGCAGGGCTGTGTCTGAGCTAAGGTTCTGTGTGCCAGTGGCCCGAACATTCACCAGGTTTCCTTACAGAACTCTTAATTCCAAGGCCCGCCATGAAGGACTTGGGGTGGTAGCCACAGACGCCACTCTGGGCAAGCACTTCTGGATGCCAGGTCCTCTGCATGCGTGGCTGTGCGGCTGCAGTGGCCCCTCCGCCCCTCAAACCAGTCTCCTCTTTAGGAAACTCCTTTCCTACCCTAAAAAGTGACAAGACTTTTTTTTCTTGTGTGTTTTTGGCTTGTGTGTTCTGAAACAAGGTCTGCTATGTAGCCCAGCCTGGCCTCCAACTCACAGCGACACCCCCGCCCCCTGCCTCAGCCTCCTCAGTGCTGGTGTCACAGGTGTGCAGCACTGCCCGGCTTTAGTTTCATTTGGAGATCGGTGGCTTCCTGGAGAGGAGCCCTAGCCTGCTCCGTGTCAGCCTCCAGCTTCATTCAATCAGCAAACAGCTAAGGAGCGCTGATTCCAAGCCAACGTCGTGTAAGGGCCAGAGACAGCAAAGAGGAGACAGGCAGCCCCTGCCTCTGTTCCTACTGGTCCAGACGGAGCGAGACAGGACACCTGAGCGAGGAACAGGGCCCATTCGCCTGGAGCTCAGGAGCCAGATGAAGCAGGAGAGCGGACAGGGAGTAGGGGGCTGCAACTTTAGAAGAAGTGGCACTTAGGGGCGCAGCAGGAAGGGGAGGAGCTAAGGGACGGAGGTTGGGCTGGCAGAGAGAAGACATGGGGGTCGACTGGGTTGGGGCAGGGCCGGGAGGGCCGCTGTGCGCGCCTGAGCTGAGTTGCTGGAGCTGAGCGCCGCGGACCTGCGCCGCTGGATTCGCCAGCCCTTCTGACAGGCACGAGACGCCAGGTGGCGCCGCGGTCCCGGCGCCCTGAAGTCCCCACCGCGCGCCGGGCGCGGGTTGCGGTCTCCTACCTGCTGCCTTGGTGGCCCCACACGTCTGTGACTCTGCTAGCAGTCGTGTCGCCCTTGTACACGGAGGTCGGAGGCGCCGCTCGGTTTGAGCTGACGTTCTGGGCTCCGAAGCCGAGCTCCTGCCAAGAGCAGACCAAGGCCTCCACAGGCCATTAGAGAAGAATTAAAAACAGATAAAGGAATGAAGAAACGTGGACGCACCAACGAAGAGGGACCCTACGGGCTGGATGGATTTCTCGGCAAGGGAGCCATGGAACCCCCCCCCCCTGCTGGAGGGACATGGGTGAGCTGATGGCCCTGGGCCCTGAGGCTGGCTGCGCCCCTCCAGGTGACCTTGAGCCCTGAGCCACCGCTACTGAGCTCAGGGCAGCGAGGCAGCCTCACCTGACACACCTGACGCAGCCGACCCCATCTCCTGCCTCCTGGCCCTGAACACCAGTGTCCTGGCCTGTCAGCCTCGCCTGCCCGGGAGGTGCTCACGGCACCTGGTGTTATTTATTATTTAGATTTTTTTTAAAATTTTGTCTTGTAGGGGCTGGCGATATGGCTCAGTGGTCTAAAGCATCTACTTGGAACAAGCTTGGCAAAGCACAGGGACCGCGGTTCGATTCCCCAGCACCACATGCCAGCCAGCCCCGCCCCCTGGTGGGCTGAGCTGGCCACACACACACACACACACACACACACACACACACACACAAATAAATAATAAAATAAATGTTTAAAAAAATAAATAAATTTTGTCTTATAAGTGGATGCACCTCGAGTCCATGAGGCCCACATGTGTAAATGTCACCTTGTTTCTCCGGTATGGGAAACTGGAAATGTAAATAAGGCCCCAGAGGAATAATAGTGGGGAAGGAACAAGGGAGAGAGGGGGGAAAGGAAAGGGGGGGAGAGAGAGCGCGAGAGAGGAACAATGCTTCCTAAATGGGGAGAGGGGAAAGGAGGGTAGGGGGATGGAGAAGAAAAGGAGTCACGTGAAATCACTTACAGGTGCAAATTCTCTATGAAGAATGCTTTTCGTTTTTTTTTTTGTTTTTTTGTTTTTTTTCAGAACCAGGGATTGAACTCAGACCCTTGCACTTGCCAGAGAAGTGCTTATCCCACTGAGCCACCTCCCCAGCCCCTTCTATGAAGAATGTGATGGTTGTGTATATCTAAATGTACCAGTACATGTGGTGGCACACGCCTGTAATCCTGGCACTCAGGAGACTGAGGCAGGAAGACTGTTCAAATTTGAGACCAGCCTGGGCTACAGAGTGAGCTCAAGGCCAGCCTGAACTGTGTAGTGAGACCCTGTCTCAAAAAACAAAAAAAGAAAGAAAGAAAGTGCCAGTAAAATCTAATTAAAAAAAAAATACAAATTTTCTTTTTTAGCCAGACTTGATGATGCACACCTGTAATCAGCAGGCTGAGGCAGGAGAATCAATATAGGTTCAAGG